AGAGACTGCTGGGATTGCTTTCTGCTTCCCTTTCTGGGTGTCGTTCTTGGCTGCTGGAATCGGCGTGTCCTTTAATGGAAACGATGGTTGCATGATGTTGTTCTGCAGCATGAAGTTGACAACCAATTGTAGGTCTGCCAACTTGTTTTCCATTCCCTTCATCTCGTCGTCCTTCTTTAGGCATCTATCCTTCTATATCTAGAGGCCGCTTTCGTTGTAATACTCGTCTCGACCTGATTTCTTCGGTGCGTCTGCCTCTTGGTTGACGTCCTTCTCTCCGGGATTCTGATATCGGGGTCCTTCATCACAGTTTTCCTCCTCCATGTTGGGATTGGCATGTTTACCACTTCCATAAGGGATATCGTCCCCAATCTTCTCTTTTTGCCCGTCGTTGGCCATCTATTCTCCTTACGTTCCCACAGATGGTGCCAAATTGTGGGTGTTGATTTCTGACCAAACTCAATTGGAGAGCACCGGCAGAATAGATTAAGCCCGAACAACCTGTCACAGAAATATAAGAATCCGGCGGTGGTTCGTCCACTCGGTGGCATTCTGACGATCAAGTCAGTAATCGATATCTCTCAAAGATAACAAGCTGTGCTTAACTCATAAGAATCAACATACTGCTCATAGTATGTTACACATACCTCAGACCTATGAGGGTGCCCTATTTTTATAGCTCACACTGACCTAATCCCTATAGAAGCCTCACTTCAGTGGACTCAGGCCCAATGCTTATCCTGGATCCTCAGCTAGATAGGGATAAACTCCCTAAGAGTTTTATTTTTATCCAGACTGAGATCTTCCCTGGTTCTAGGACTGTTGCCCCTTATCTGCTCATCTCGGATTCCGGTATCTCCGCAGATAACCTCGGCCTAGCCGAGATCACCTCGGCGCATGACCAGGCCACGTGGCACCTCGGTTGACACTTCGGTGTCACCTTGGCCACGTGCTGTTATTCTCAAAATATGTCTCCACATTTTTCATTTCAAAAAATGTACTTCCTCCGTCCCAAAAAATTGTCTCTTTTGGAGAATTCAACTTTTTTTTGTAGTACAATTATTGCACTTTAAAAATATTAGTTTTTCAAAATTACCCTTTGATAATATATATTTTCTGGGAATATCAATTGTTATAATTATACTTTTTGTGTTGTTAGTGAATTTAAAAGAAGGGCAAAATAGAAAATTTATATTATTTTAATCCTTGATTTTTGAAAATGGTCTAATATTTTGGGATAATAAAAAATGAAAAAAGAGATTAATATTTTAGGACGGAGGAAATACTAAATTTCATTAAAAAACAAAGAAGTTGCTTTTGTTTGTTTTTAAACAAGTTTCCTTCCTTCTCCCTTCTCTACCTCTTTTGGCCATCACTCATCACCACCACTAGCTACCCCCTTTGAACCTCTTCAGCTCCTGCCATCACTGTAGGTAGGGCTGGTCCTGAGTTTTCGGGGCCTAAGGTGAAACAAAAATGGAGGTCTATATTCACAAAATAAATAAATAAATAAATCCTATATTGTATCATTACCGTCGATTGATACCAAAATAGATATCAAAATGTATTCGTATAAAAAAAAAGAAGTTACCAAAATTAGGAAAACTTTCTTCAATTAAAATGTATTGGATATGTATTGAATTGATTGTTATTTATTGAATATGTTGTTTATGAGTGTGGTTGCATTGTTGTTTATTGAATATGTTGTGTATGAATGTGATTCAAATTGAATTAATTGTTTATTCCACTAAAATTTGATAAATAAGAAAAGTAAAAAAAATTAGGATAAATTTATTTATTCCACTAAAAGCTGATAAAGAAAGAAAATAAAAAAAATTAGGGGCCCTATTTTGGGTCACTAAAATTTTGTATGTGAATGTAATGTTTCTCATTCAAGGGCCACTGACATTTTGTATATATTTTAATTTCAATTGGGCCAAACCACACTTATAAACAAATATGGGCTCAACAAAATATTTTTGGGTTCTTTAGACTGGTTCTAAAACAATAAGGGATTTTTACCAACCGGTCCCAATAATTGAATCTATTACCCATTAGGTCCTAAGTTTCTATCTCATGCACCAGGAAGTCCTGCTTTATTTTTTTATCCCGATTTGGCCCCTACGACTAGTTGGTAAAAATCCCTATTTAAATCATCCCAAACACTTTCTAAATCTTTAATTGTTTATAATATTTATTACTAATTAGTTTTTTTAATTTGTATTAACTTCTCTTTTGATCATTTTTCCAAAACTCTTTTTTTTTTTTATCTCTCTCTCTCTAGAAAATACCACCATTGTAGCTATGGCCATGGCCATCCACCCGCAACCACCATCATCGTCCGTCACTAACCACCGCCACCTCCACTAGTCACCACTATCATTTTTGCCGGCCACTACTATCACCATTGTTCACCAAGCATCTCCATCGTCGCCGATCTATACTTCACCACCTCTCAATCATTTGACTCGCTCGCCTAACATTGTCGTCTTTCTTTCTCTTTTCCATTTCCGTCGCTCTTCCTCCATTTTCCATCCTTTAGTTGCCATCATCGTCGTTCTTCTTCAATCATCGATCTACCATCTTCAACGTTGAACTTCATCAATGGTTTCAAATCTACTTGTTTTCTATGTTGACCTACCATCTTCAGCGCCAATCTGGTACTTTACATGGTTGCCAATGAGATCGAGACTCGTTCTACAGTGTGTTGGTGAAGATTTACATTTGTAAAACATGTTGAATTAATCTGATGAATTTATCACTTAATTCAGTGATAAATTTATCACTGATTTGTTTAATATGTTGTGAATTGCTGCTACTGGAATTTTGATATTAATACAATGATAAATTTATTACTGATTTTTGTTCATGTTATATTTATCACCTCCTTCTTCCTCACTCCCTCTCTTTTTCTTTTTTTTTTTCTTAAACCAAATCTGCTGTATTAGTGATATTTATAGTACTGATATATTTCTTTGAATCTTGTGTTGATTTGTGACAATGATGATGATATTTTTTTTTAATTTTTTTTTAATCTTTTAACAAACAACTAGTGAGAAATTTATCAGTGAATGTGTTTATCATTGCTAAATTTATTACTGAATATGTCTTTGAATCTTATGTTAATTTGTGACGATGATGATGAGATTTTCTTTTTACAATTTTTTAACAAATAGTCAGTGAAAAATTTATTGCTGAATGTGTCTATCAGTGATAAATTTATCACTGAGTATGTCTTTGAATCTTATGTTGATTTTTGATTATGAAGATGAGATTTTCTTTTTTAAAATTTTAACAAACATATAGTGATAAATTTATTATTGAATGTGTCAATCATAGATTTTTTTATTGGATTTGTCTTTGAATCTTTGTATTGATCTGCAAATGTGAAGAATTATTTTCTAGACTCCTTATCCCCCTCCTTCATTTTCTTCATCCTTATTCTTCTCTTTTTCTCTTGTTGCCAGCATGGCGGTATTGACATGGTTGAAATGGAAAATGGCCAAAAAAAAATATGGTCAAAGGTCAGAGGATGTCTTCGGTGGCCAGTTGAGAGAGACTGTGTGAAACGGTTGTGCGATTTCTACATATGGGCTGAATGTCAAGGGTAAAATGGGAAGATATGCTAATTATTTTGGGTCAGGACCTCATGGGAATTAAATCAAGTCGAAAGGACCGGCCCGTAACTCCCCCAAACAATAAAAATAATTTGGGCCTATTTATATTTGCAATATACTATAATACTTTTCTAAATTTGGGGCCCTATTTTGGGCCAATTTTTTGGAGCCTAAGACACAAGTCTCAATGGCCTTAACCCAGGGCTGGTTCTGGCTGTAGGTGACCTCCTCTGGCCACCACCTCTAGTGAGTTCCCTTCCACCTTTGGCTTGTACCCCTCCTCCCCTGGTCACCACCTTCGGCTTGTTCCCCTCCACCTCAATCACTGCCCACTCCTCCTGGCGAGTCCCCTCCAACCTACTCCGGCCCCTGCTATCTTATTCTTAAAAAACAAGTTTTTGGAAACATTTGTGTGTACCAAACATGTTTTTTTTTTTTTTTTTTAAATTTTTTTAATCAAAATTAAACATAAACTTGATTAATATTTTCTGTAAAAATAAAAAAATAAATAAAAATTAAACATTACCAAACGAAACAACTTGGAATTATGTATAGCAGCTTTATAAGTTTTATTTATTCTTCAATTGTGCCCAAGTCATCTGTCATCTGTTTAATGTGCCTTCGTTGTTAGGTAAAAATCCTGGTGACTGCTAATGGGGCACACAAACTACCTGTCATTGAGGACCCAAAAAGCATGAAGGAAGCTTTGCAATATTTGAATTCCATCGAGTGTAAGAAAATCAAAGTAATATGTTTTGAACTTTTTCAGAATTAGGAGCTCAAACTGTTTCAAATTGGCACCTCTAATACCTGATCCAACTTTATTCGTAGGCTCCACAAAATGCAAAATGATGCACTGATTAAGGAGGAGCTGCTTCGGAACTTCCCTGTCATGAAGCCGATATCAGAGTCAGTATCAGATCCAGATGTATAAAAAGGTGTGGCCATTCCTGGTTTTTCTTAGAGCATTTTTGGGATACCGAAGACATATTTAAGGCGCAAAAGGTGTTAGTTTTGGAGTTTTAGTTTTCATTAGAATTATGTTTCATTGTTTGGTCTATTTATACTTTTTATTTAAAATTTTGTAGTCAGTTTTGTTGCTTTTTCCTTCTTGGTAGAGAGTAGCTTATATATAATACATACAGAGGGTGATAGGAAACACTCGTGTATTTTAGAACAGATGAATATTGATCAATATCTTCAGAACCTTTATTCTATGGAGTCCAGACTTCTATTCTTCTTTTTTCACTCTCTGGTTCTGCACCATTACTGTCCATCTGAATAGTTTCACCCATTTTAGATGTAATTTCTGTTTGAACTAATACTAGCACAATAAATAGATCCCTTTTTTGATTTAGTGAAAATTAAGTGGAAAAAAAGTGATTCTATAGAAATAAAATAACTCTTTCTTTCTCTCAAGCATCCAATGGAAATGAATAATCTCCCTTTTTGTGGGAGTAAACATGGCTTGATTTGGGGAAAGCTCATTTTTCAATGAAGTGAGTGAGCAATGTACCTTCACTTATTTCAACCTAACTAAAAGTTAAATTCACTAGGAGTTTGGAGACTCTACAAGCTGGAAAAACTACAAGCTCATTACAAACTAATATTTAATGGAGAGGGGAAGCCGAATAATCACCAAAAACTCCAAATACCAAAAACTCCAAATTCTAGAAGGGTTCAATTTCTCTCTAGTCTATCCTGTCCAAACACGGAGAAAAGTTTTCTTTCTCGTCATTTCTTTTTAGCTCTCATCAAATCAGTCAATCCAAACAGGCTGTTAACGGGGTTGGAACCGATGACAATGGAAATTCGCTATAGTTCTTTGTTATCAGAATTGAGAGTTAAACTTGAAGATTTTGATACTACTCCTAATTGCTGATCTCTGAGTTCTATCAACTGCATTTGGTACTTAGCATTGAGCCACATCACTTCTTGCCATTATCTCATTCTCATAGTCATCTGCAAAGGCACAATTCGTGGAGAGAGTTTCACGAATTGGACTTACTCCTCTTTTCCATATTTACCTGCGCCCTCTTCCTTTTCCAAGTTTGAGTGGTTCCCGTGTCCATAGTCAGAGTGAATGTCCCTCGATCTGTCTGAACTTAATGCAGGTCCATCGTGTTCATACCCTTCAAAATGGTACGCGATCTCTTCAAAGCGGCCACATACTGCTTCACATCCATGTTGAGAACACCGAAGAGAGTCGTTATGACAACCATTTGAAGCACAATTGTGAGAATAGCTCATATTTGTGCAACCGAGTATTTCTTCCATGCCTGTCCCTCTCTTCCAATCCGGTACCAAAGAAGCAATCTCGCTGTCTATTGTTTCTGCTATCTTAGTCACATCTTGAGCAGTAATATCCAACGCTGCTACCATTTCAGTAGCAACGCTCAACGCATTGTCAGTTTCAATGTCAAAATGGAAGTAGATATTTCGAACGCAGCCTGCAAAGCGAATAATGTTAGCTTGGTCTCATTCGCCATTTCACGGTTCATGTTAGTTGAGAGTAATAATATTCAAACCTTCTTCATCTGCAATCCTGAGCCTTAAAAAGATACAATCATTTTCTTCCCTCATCCCATTGATGGTAATGTTGACATTTGTCAAATGCTCATCCTCTTGACTAGTGAAGCAATCAATTTTATTTTGTTCACAATCGACTGAGTGATGATCCAAATCACTCTGAGCTTCACAACCATTGATTGAGTTGTTGAGAGGAGGCGGTCTTAAAAGAGAGCCTACTTCGTCAAGATCTCTCCAATCTGATCCATAATTCTCGATTTGGAGAAAAGGGTCTTTCAGAAGCTCCACAGCAGTTAACCTGCATGACACTGATGCCAAGCATTTCTCAACGAATTGTCGAACCTCGGGATTCCTAACTTTGTACAAGGCATCTGGTTTTTTCCCCTATGGAAAAATGATGTAAAGTTAATGGTTGTTTGGAAAGACAGAAAATTGAATGAGAAAAGGCGAAATTGGGAGTTTTTTTTGAGGTTCCTACAGAGACAACTTTGTTGTAGATCTGAGCAGGGTTGGTGCATTCACTATATGGATACTCAATGGTGACCATTTCCAAGATGCACATCCCAAATGAGTATATGTCAACTAATTCATTGTATTCCTCTGCATAAACCTCCGGCGCCATGAACTCTGGTGTGCCTAAGATCAAACAAGAGATACCACCCATAACATAAAAACTCATGATAGCAAAACTCTCCATGAATCAATTCAAGTCATTGTTCTGGGACACGAAAATGATGACAATGATTTATATTTTAAAATGCACGTCTCGAAATATGGTATAATTTTTGTTCTAAAATGGTGAATTTAAGCAATTATATTTTTCCCCCCTATATATTTATTTAAAGATTTCCTTAGGAGCAAAAAATCAAATATAATAAACCAAAATTTAGGGAGAGTGGATTTTTGAAATTCCCATAAATATATTTTTACATGATTAACTTGAAAAAAAAGAGACTATCGTTTATTAGATGTCATAGAAGTACCTTAAATGGGCTAAATGTTACAATAAAATTGCTCTAAAAATACCTTAAATTTTGATAAAGTAATATCGTACACCTTTATTGTACCTCATTTTAGAGTATGTGGTGTATCACATTGCCGTTCCATTTCTGTACCCAAACGACTTGTGTTCCAGGTAACATAGCCACAAGGCAATCTAGAATCTGATGCCCAAATTGTGTTTATGTGTGTTGTGCAAAACTTGAAATGTGAAACCACAAGGAAATTTGTAATTTTAGTAGCTATTATGAACATTTGATCATCTGAAACAACATCAGAGAATCTGGAATGATTCAAACTCACCAACACAGAGAGCAACATGGGATTTGCAGCGGATTGCAGCGAGGCCGAGATCACCAATCTTGACTTCCCCTTGGTTGCCATTGATAAAAATATTGTCACACTTCAGATCTCTGTGAATCACAGGGGGGTCATGGCTGTGGAGATAGAGAAGCCCTTTCAAGATCTGTCTACACCAATGCTTCACTGCTCTAATGTTAACTCGCTTGTGTTTTATCCTAAACCTAGACAGATATTCAAAATGAGTATTACCCATATGAGAAAATAAAATAAAACCCAGATCAGAAAATTAAATAATTTTGAGTATAAATTTTTACTTACTGTCTCAGAGTGCCAGAGGTGAACATCTCAGTGACAAAGTTTATGTTTCTGTTGTCAGTGTCAACCCAAGAAGTGTAGAATTTCATGATGTTGTGGTGTTTTAAGGTCTTGAGGAGATGAATTTCACAGTACAACCTCTGTAGATCATCATATCTTTGCAGGAAATCATAAAACTTTACCTGATTCCATGCTACTTCAATCCCTTCATACTCATCAAACGCTTTATAACTGCACCCAAAAAACAAAAAAATGTAGACCTTGAAATGGCAAACCATGTATAACAAAGGGCTCATCTCCTCTCCAGTTAACTAAGTCCAAGAGGAGCCGTGGTTAATCCAGTTGTAATAGGAGCCGGGTGACCACTCTCACAACTGGACTCCAATTGATTTTTCTTGATACTTTCATAAGCACATGACTTCCCTCTAGTCAATTGGAGTCCACTTGTGAGAGTAGTCCCACGACTCTTATTAACCACGGCTCTTCACACAACTAAGAGAAAAAAGTCATGTGCTTATGAAAAAGTACTAGAAAAAAAAAATAAAAATCACATAGTCTAATCAAAGTTCAAATTTTGTTCAAATTTGAAAGGGGTTTGGAGAAAGAGGTGCATACACTGTCTTTGAAGCTCCTGTGCCAAGAATTTCATTGTACTGTAAAGAATAGCAGTTTGTGTTTGTGACAAACACTCAAACAAGAAAAGGGCATGTAATGAAAATGAACAAAACAAAAAGAGAAAAGCCAAGAAACAGAAATTAATGAAAACAAACAAGGCATACCCTTCCATATCTTCCAGTGGGATCAACTTCAACAAACTCAGAGTACTCTGTTTCATAGGCAGAAGCACCATTCATTGCTTATTCCTAGAGAGAGAGGGAGAGAGAGAGATAGAGAGAGATGATCAAGTGCTCATTATCCACAATGAATAGAAGAAATTATGGGTTATGGTTAAAAATGTGTGTTGTGAAAGGAGAGGCCTTGGTGAGTACATCAAAAGGACAACGTTTGTCCAACAACTCAAGAGACAAAAGGCATAAGGGACTTGTTTGGTTTGTTTTTGAAAAATAAATTTTGAATTTTTTTTTTTGAAATTTTATTTGATTTAGTGATTTTGGAAAAAAAATTTAAAATTATTTTCTTTCTTTTACACATCAATTAATCATTTTTTTTTCTCACACATATTTATTCAATTATAATAAAATATCAAATCATTCAAAACTCTCATACTTTAAAACTATTTCTAAAATACACAATCAAACAAACCAAAAAAATTTCTCATGAGTTTGCCCAACATATCTCTCTCTCTCTCTCTCTCTAATGAAACAGGTATGCAACAGCTTGCTAGAGCCAATCAATTATGCCTCCGTTTGGGAAGTGGGTTGCCTTTTTAACTTTTTGACTATTTTAACCTGGGGTTAAAAAGCCTGGTTTGGGAAGGGCTTTTTAGTTTTTTGATTTTTTTGACTTTTTTTGTGAGAGAGTAGTGTAATGATTATGGGTTGGATTTGATATTTTGTTTTTTGTGACTAAAATAACCTATTTTATTTTTTGTGACTATTTTAGCTCTTAACCCACCAAAACTAACTTCCCAAACTATGCCATAGTTTTCCTTTATTTATTTATTAGCATATCATTGGCACTATACATGGGATTGAATTAAAAATAATTATTTATGATTATGTTAAATAGATTTTTAAATTGTTAGAATAAAATATATGTAATTTTAAAAGAAAATGTTGACATTGCATAATTAAAGTAATAAAAATAAGAATTTATTACATTTGTTCGGAAGTCACTGAATAAATAAAATAAAGTATAACTAAATTGTTGTGGGTCTTTAAGTCCAATAGCATTCCGGCATTGTCAACATGATAGTTAGTATTATAATTGATGAACAACACATATATTATGTATTTATAAAATGTTATGCTTACATTTTTTTTTTCTTTTACTTTCTAAAAGATATAGACATTTTTCAGATCAATCTATATTTAAAACAAAGATTACGCACGGTGCACAATCTAATTGACTTTGCATTGTTGGTACAGGTATGATAAATGTACAGGCACGATTTTGCTATGACGCAGTATAATCTTTAATCATTTTGACTCCATTATCCTATAAAATTTTGGAATTATAACATCGTGTTTGAAAATGTAAGAATAAGTTATTTATAATAAATTATATAATTTTGCACATTTGATCTCATATTCTTCAAATATGATGGTTGACATCGCAAGATAAATCCTGCCCATTTATCTTGAACAATGAGATTTATTGAATCAGTATTGTCTTTGATCAGAATGTTAACATTGTATCTAATAATAATAATAATAATAATAATAACAATAATAAAAACTTGTTAAAAGAAAATATTGTATTTAATAAAAAGTTAAAATACTAGTTAAATTTGAATTATTATTATACATAGCAATTATTTACCTACGAAATATTACCTCGTTATAATATCAATATCATCATGAATGCAGTAACGGCAAACAATGTAACCATAATGATATTCAACTTTTTGATAGCAACTTTTGTACAAATCAATCCAAAGTTTGTCAACATCAATTTGTTCAATGTACCCAAGTATCTAAAAATATGAAACCTACAAATATTTGAAAAAACATAAATTAATATATCTTTATAAACGAATATATATACATATCGTTTAACTTTCATTACTTGGGACGATAACAATTCTTACCTTTGGCATAGGTGTAAAATCACATATTCGAATTCTTTTGGCATTTGATATTACCAATGACTGTGAAATTGAGAATCCATTTTTTCGATTCCAAGATAACAACTTTTGTGATATAGGATTCATAGCAAGCCTAGATAGACATCAATACATATGTAATTGTGAGAATTATATTGTCATATGCAATTGGTTAATATTATACAATCATAATATGTCACACTCGAATATAATTTGTATAACGGAATGAATGATTAGTAAATAACTTGTACATAAATCTAGAAGTTAAGAAAAGATAATTTATCAATATCAATATTTGTATATGCATCTATTTATTATAAAAGTCAATGAAAAATAATCTTACATAATAATCTTTAGCGGTTAATCCAGGGGCAAATAAAATATTATCATTTTCTAGAGTATGATATAGTTGCATGCCATCAGTTGTTGCAAACACGTCCCATAAATAGTCTTACTAATGTGAAATTATTTTTACAATTAAAAAAAAGGGTTAAATTATTCGTAGAGTATTTTAAATTTGGTAAAGACACAAAAATATGTTATGGTATCATACCTTGTATCAAGTAGTAGAATCTCTCTTTTGTAATTATCACGATTTGCAATACCTTGACATTTAGTTACACTAACAACCAAGCCAATCATATTTGCATAATTTAGCATTGACATATTTATTATTTTGATAGTTTAAATTTGTTCTATTAGTAATAAACTATGTAAGTATATAATTTAGATAAGTATTATTTAGTAAAAATAACGTACCTATTAATTGAACATTTTGATGAGGAAATTAGTCAATGTTTGATAATTTTTACAACTTTTTAAAAATTCAATTACAATTTTTTGCAAGACAACATATAATCTAATTATCAAAAAACATAGAAATTGCCACAACTCAAACAAAGTAACGAAGTCAATTGATATTTAAAGAATATAATTATTATTATTTTTTTTCAAAAAACATCTTGAGTTAAAAACCCAATCTCGAATCAAGTTAATTGATAGTTAAAAAGCGCAATAAATTTTTTTTTAAAATATAGTGAGTTAAAAAATCCAATTACAAAATACAATCTAATCATCATCATCAATATTGAGTATTTTATGTGAACCTAATAAATACAATTCAATCACAATCACAAAATACAATCTAATCATCATTAATAGTGGGTATTTTATGTGAATCTAATAAATACAATTTAATTTTTTTTACAAAACATAAATTAAAAATACAATCACTGTGTGATTGTTTTTTTCTTCAAAAAACACAAATTAAATGGAGTGTAGAAAAACACAATCATTAAAAAAAAACAAAATCACCGTGTGATCAAAATAGAATGTAAAAAAACATAACCACAAATTAAGCTAATTAAAAAAAAATAGTGAAGTCAATCGATAATTAAAAAATATAATTATTATTATTTTTTCAAAAAGCATAGTGAGTTAAAAATCTCATAAGAAATTAAGCTAATTAATAGCTAAAAAGCACAACCATTTTTTTAAATACAGTGAGTTAAAAAATCTAATTACAAAATATAATCTAATTATCATCATCAATAGTGCATAATTTATGTGAGCCTAATGAATACAATCTAATTTTTTTTCCCCAAAAAACATAGATTAAAAATATAATCACCGTATTGAAACATAAATTAAGTTAAATCATAATCACAAAATACAATCCAATCATCATCAATCAAACAGAGTGTAAAAATACAATCACCGTATTGAAAAATAATGAAGTCAATTGGTAATTAAAAAATAAAATTATTATTATTTTTTAAAAAAACGTACAAATTAAGTTAATTGATAGTTAAAAAGCACAACATTTAAAAAAAAAAAATTACTTTATGTGAATCTAATAAATACAATCTAAATTTTTTTTTCCAAAAAACATAGACTAAACAATCACCGTGTGATTGTTGATTGTATTCAAAAAACATGAATACAATCTTTTTTTCCTCAAAAAACGCATATTAAATGGAGTGTAAAAAAACATAATCATTTAAAAAATTAAAATCACCGTGTGATCAAAATGGAATGTAAAAAAACACAATCACATTTTTCCTCATAAAAAAAAGAGTAATGAAGTCAGTTGATAATTAAAAAATATAATTATTTTTTTTTATCAAAAGGCATAGTGAGTTAAAAATTCAATCACAAATTAAGCACAATCATTTTTTTTTTGAAAAATACACTAAGTTAAAAAACCCAATTACAAAAAATAATCTAATCATTATCATCAATAGTGCATACTTTATGTGAACCTAATGAATACAATATAATTTTTTTTCCAAAAAACATAGATTAAAAATAAAATATTGAAAAATAAACAAAGCTTTACTCACAATCACAAAATACAATCTAATCATCATCAACAATTAATATTTTATGTGAACCTAATGAATACAATCATTCTTAATTAATTTAAAAATATAATCACTATATTAAAAAATAAATGATTTACTCGCAAACTTTGAAATATTTTTCTTCCAAAATTCTATCCCAAAGTTGCTGCCGCTATGATAGGAAGACTCCAAGATTTTATCTTACTTTACGTGAACTCTCTCTCGCCCAATTTTTTTTTTAGGTTGTTGTGTGCTGTGTAATAATGAGCTCAAATTTTTTCTTTAGGTTGCTGTGTGTTGTGGTAGGATTTAGGTTAGTAGGTAGTAATAGGTAATAATGGGTAATAAGGTTTAAGGTAATTCAGAATTTTTTTTTAATCAGAAAATTAAGAAATTAGGAGTTTATGAGTTAAAAAGACTATTTTTCTTTAGATTACTGTGTGTTGTGGTAAGGTTTAAGTTAGTAGGTAGTAATGGGTAATAATAAGTAATGGGGTTTAGGATAAAACGAAATTTTTTTAATTAAAAAATTAAAAAATTAGAATTGAAATAACGAAACTCCCACAAAATTTATGAGTTAAAAAGATCATTTTCCATGCATAATAGATAATGTAGGACAAGTGGGTATGTGGGATTTACACATTGGGAGAGGCAATTTCCTCGTGAAGATTTCATGAATCTTCTCTCATTGAATAATTGTGGTTTTGGACCTTATGGATATATAGATATAATTAGGAATACAAATTAAGTAAACAAGGTGGACAAATACTGAGAGGGTAATTTTTGGGAAGAATTGGGTCGAACTGCGTGATTGGGCTTTGAGGCCCAAAGTGCAAAGGACTAAGTAAAAAGGCCGTAATTGGTACTCCGGCCCAGGAGAGCAAGGTTACTC